CAATAAAGCTGTTATCAAAACAACAAAAAGAAGCCCAGGCTATGTGACTTGGTTGGGTGTTGTTCCATGCACCAAGAGGTCACTGGTTCAATTCCCAGTCAGGGTACATGCCTGGGTTGTGGATTCAAACCCGAGTATGGGGTGTGCAGGAGGCAGCTGGTGGATGTTTCACTCTCATTGATGTTTCTATCTCTCTCCCGCTCACTTCCTCTCTCTATTAAGTTTAAAAAAAAAAAAAAAAAAAAAATCTGGCCCTGGCCAGTTTGGCTCAGCAGTTAGAGCGTTGGCCTGTGGTCCAGAGAGAGCTGGGTTCAGTTCCCACTAAGGGCACGTACCTTGGTTGCAGTTTGTCCCCGGCCCCGATTGGGTTGTGCGGGTGACAGCCAGTTGATGTGTTCCTTTCACGTCAATGTTTCTCTCTCTTCCTCTCTCTCCCTCCCACTCTATCTGAACAAAAAATGGAAAAATGTCCTCAGGTGAGGATTAAAAAAAAAATTTTTGTTTTGTAGCCTAACTGGTCTATCCTGGAGAATGTTCCATGTGCACTTGAGGGGAAAAAATGTGTCTTCTTCTGTTGTTGGGTGATCCTGTAAATCCCCAAGGCTCTGTTTACCTTCTTTATTGCTACATATTGATAAAGGGAAGATCTTAGGTATTCTTCTATATTATCTTCTAGAAGTTTTTCTTTAACCTGAAACCGATTTGCATATATGTTGTACATTAAGGATCCAATTTCCTTCTTTTCCGACTGTCACAGCAATACATACTGAAGAGTCTAACCTTTACCCAGTGATATGTAATTCCACCTCTGCCATATATCAAGTTTCTCAGGTCTGCTTCTGGCAGCTCTTACATCCTGCTGGCCAATTCATGCTACCCTGAGCCAACTGTTAAGTAAGCCTTGACGCTGGTAAGGCAAGTGCTCACTCCTTACTTTTCTTCAAAGTGCCTTAACAATATTACATTCTTTTTCCCAACATTTTAGAACTGACTTGTCACATTTCCCAAAAAACTCTCTGGAGATGCAGAGTCCACAGATCAGTATAAGAAGAACAGGCAGCTTTACCACATTGAGTCTTCCTAGCCAAGAACATCATGTATTTATTCAAGTCTTCTATAATGACTCTTAATAAAGTTGTACATTTTTCTCTATTTAAAACTTCACACATCTTCTGTTAGTTCCCATTTACATCAAAGATGGTTCAATTAGGAGAACAGAAATCATGCTATTTCAAACACAAAGGGGTTTAATAACAAGGAAGCAGTGCTTCTGAAACAATTGAAAAGGCTAGAGTTTGCACAAAGTGGGCCACCTCTAACTATTTCACCACTACAGCTGCAGTCCAGGGAGTCAGGAAGCTGCTGTTGCCAACCACAGATGAGGAAACTGCAGAAAACTGCTGCCAGACCACAGTGGCCCTGCAGCCCTGAGACAGCTGGCCAGTGGGAGATGTGGAAGCCACTGCACTCACTCACCTCAGTCTAAGCCCACACACCCACCAGAGCCAGAGGAAGAAGGATTCCAAATTTCATGGGAAAGATCTCATGGGCTAAATGATACCCAGAAGCCTACTGGCAGGGGGGTGGGAGTCTGAGTGTTACAGCTCCAGCCTTCCAGCCCCAAAAGGCAGGGACTGTATTGAATGCCCAGACTATATCTAGCATACCACCCATTTTCTATCTTCCAAAACCACACTGAAATTACTGATCTACTGTTACATCTTTTCCCATTTTCTATAACCCTGTGCTTTTATAGCTTATTGTAATTTTAACAGGCTTTTTAGCAGGGCAATGAAATAATCTCACATGGTCACTCAGAGTCCTGAAGTCCATGTTCAAAAGCAAACTGACCAAGCATGGTTTAAACTCTCCCTACAGATAGGAAGGTCACAGCAAAGGTGATTATTAGCTAACTTCCTGTCTGCACCCCCTTCATATAGGTTAATGAGTACCTTAACCTACATTCATGCTGTTTAAAAATTAATTTTTTAAAATAAACTACAAAAAATATGACAAAATTTCAGGGAAGAAACAAATACATTATTCTTTGTATATTTTGATAACCTAAATTTCTCTGGATCCCAACTCAAAAACAATCAGAAATCAGTCTGCAATTCCACTTAGATCAGGGTGTGCCACTACCCCACAAGACAGGCACAGTACTAGGAGTCAAGGGGAAAGCAGGAGCGAGCTAGGAGGTCCGACCGGGCCTCAGTCTTCTCACCCCTCCTTGAGTATACCCTGTTAGGCCTCAGTGAGTTTGCACACACTGTCATCATTACACCCTCAATGGTTGAGGCCTAGAACACGCAATCTACTCAGAACTCTGGCCTCCTGTAGGACAGACTTTATTTTCTGTCAGGGGAGAAAATACAGGAACCTATGTAACTTCAAGTTAACACTTAAACTGAGCAGACTTGTACATTCTGTGCCAACTAACCACGTGAACCAAAAGAGAAATCATGAAATACTTTCAACGATTAAAAAAAAGAGAGAGAGAGAGAAATCAGATCTTGTCCCTATCTTCAATAACTCCACAGCACATTGATAGATGAACCAGCTGAATCATAAGAGTGCCTAGCATTGTTTTCAGTATCTATAACAGAGCAGTTATTACACACAACCTTAAAAGCAAAGCCAAAAGGCACTATGAAAACAGCAGATAAACCATGATCCCATTTTAAAGCAAGCCAAGAACCATTTGGTTCTTTGTTCAGAAAATTCTCTAGGAGGCTAGATTTGAAATCTCACCCCATAAGTCAGACCAGGGAAAGCTTCCAAGACATGCAGGGTGACCTAGCACATAGAACCTACATCCCAAACACTGGGAAGTTCACAATGTCTGGACTGTGACCCACGGAATGACTAGGTGGTCTCCCAGATACAGGGCTACAGTCGGCCCTCGTTTATCGCGGTTAATCAGTTCCAGACTCTACCAGGATAAATGAATTTCCGCAAAGTAGGATTCTCTATTTATATAGAGTCGTCCCTCACCACTTTGCGATTTGACCTTCGCGGCTTCACTCTAGTATTTGAAAAAACTGCGATAGAGTGAAGCCGCGAAAGTTGGAAGTGCGAAGTGGCGAGGGACGACTGTATCCCAGAGGTTCCTAACCCAGCCACCACCATTCAAATTCTCATTTGGAAAGGCAGATGCCTCAACCGCAGACATGCACATCCACTGAAGGAAGAACAGGTATAAGAAATGATTAAGCGGCCCTGGCCGGTTTGGCTCAGCGGTTAGAGCGTAGGCCTGCGGTCCAGAGCGACCCGGGTTCAGTTCCCGCTAAGGGCACGTACTTTGGTTGCAGTTTGTCCCCGGCCCTAGTTGGTCGTGCGGGTGGCGGCCACTCGATGTGTCCCTTTCACATCGATGTTTCTCTCTCTCTCTCTCTCTCTCTCTCTCTCTCTCTCTCTCTATCTGAACAAAAAAATGGAAAAGTGTCCTCGGGAGAGGATTAAAAAAAAAGAAAGAAAGAAAGAAATGATTAAGCGGTCCCTCTCCCTGGCCGGTTTGGCTCAGCAGTTAGAGCATTGGCCTGCGGAACAGTCGCAGGTTCGATTCCCCGTCAAGGGCACATACCTCATGTTCAGGTTCAATCCCTGGCCCAAATTGGGGTTGTGCAGGAGGCAACCAATCTCTCTCTCTCTCCCCCCACCCCATCTAAAAATCAATGGAAAAATATTCTCAGGTGAGGATTAACCAAAAAAAAAATTAAAAAACAGAGGTCACCTCTATAGGCAAACAGAGTCCAAACAGACCACCTCTATTTCTTATTTTGGAACCCTCCCTCAATGAACTGTCCCAAGCTCAAATGTCAAATTCTACTTGATGTCCCACCCGATTCCCTGGTTGGAGTTAATCAGTTTTCTTCAGCACCTGGCCTATAGGAATGATAACACTTCTTTCATTTACTGAATGCTGGAAAGGACCCTGTCCTAGACCAGGTCCCATTGAAGAAGAGGACAGGTCTGCCTTCAGGGAACTCAGACTGGAAGGAGACACCAAACATGGGCACAAATGATGATAAGAATTACTAGTGGTTCTGTGTCCTGTCAGAGAACAGAGCAGGTGTTAGCAGAAGCCAACCTACAGCCAGTAGGCCCAGAGATGCCTTGTTGTAGAATTATTTAGCCAAGCCTTGAAGGATGGGCAGGATCTGTCCACACAGAAATAAAGCAAGAGGATTCCAGGAAAAGAGAAGGGCATAAACAAAGTATACGGCTAGGAAATTCTTAATGGGGTGGGCACAGGAAATAGCCTGGCTGAAGGGAAAATAACGGTAAACTGAATTGGCAAAAAAACAAACGAGCCAGATTGTAAAGAAATTTGAATGTGAGGCCGAAGAGTTTAGGTCTGAGATTCCTTTCTCTTAGGGTCTTTATCAAAACCACTTGGGTCTTAAACACATTAGCATGTGCACAGATGCAGGAGTACACGTGAGACACTATACTGTCCACCTTAACAAACACCATTACTCACAGGGTGTGCTACATTCTTTGAGGGTGCTGGAGCAGAAACCATTTGGAGAACTAACAATTTAGACTTTCTGTGACATTCTATGTCTTTATGAGTACACAGATCATCAGGAGAAAAACCCCAGTGAAAGACGACTAGTGACTGAGCGAGCAGGACAGATAGGCAGAGCTAAGGTCAGTCTAAATTACCTTTGTTAGGATTCTAGCCAAGTCTCACAGACATGATCTCCAAAGCCGGGCAAGGAGGAGGCAAGAAGCCACCACACTTCAGGGCGCTGCACCTCACAAAATGTGGCATCATGGGCGCCTCTCTTGCCTTACCACAGCTCTGACCCTGCCATCTTACAACTTCTGAGATTTACCTGTGTTAAACACCTATTTTTTTAAAAGAGAAAGAGAAAGGGGAGGAGAAGCTCAAAATAACCTTCCAGCACATGGGTATAGCATGGGGTACCAGCTGACACCATCTCCCCCTGATGGAAAGCATGGGCCACGTGCATCTGCCTGCCCGACACACTCACCTGGACAGTTGGCTTCATCGCTCTCATCCTCACAAGTCACCCAGCCGTCACACTGCCAGGGGAGGGGGATGCACTGGATGATGCCGCTGTGACAGGCAAACTGCCCAGGGTTGCACCGCAGCTCTGTGAAACCAAAGGGCAAGAGGCCATTGAGGAAGTGGCAGTAGTAACGAAGACCTGGAGTGGCCAGGCCTGCCACCGCCTGGTCTTGCCACCACCCGGCCCCTATGAGCATGGGCCAGACACCAGACAGCCTGCCTAGAGCCCACCTCAGCAGGGGACTGAACGCATACCCCAAGGAAGAGACAAGAGCTGTGCCCAAAACGCCACAAGTCCCCAGAGCATCGCATCCCCACCAAGACATTGACCTTTATGCACTGCCCCAAACATACACTGCCGCATTTCTGCTCTGTGTCAGGCTCTGTAGTGCACTGCAGAGACAGAAACAAGAGGGCACACCTCTCACCTCCTGAGGGATTCTGGATCAATGGAGAAAACACACATACACTCAATACACACATATGGACAAACACACAATTGGGGTTTCTGACAATGCAAATGGAGGTTACCAACACAGGAGTACTCAACAGTATGCCAAAGCAACATGAAGGAGAAATGGCCTCCACCTGCGGGGCTCTGGAATGCTTCTTAAAGAAGATGAGATATGAACAGGGTTTCCAAGGCAGGTTGATGGTTTCAGAGGTACATATAACATTATAGGAAGGCAAGAGCAATCTAGAAAAAGCAAGGCTTAAGGAAATATCACAAGGCAGGAGAGCATGCCAGTTAGACTGTGCGAGCTGTAAGATGCGGAATCACTGGAGATAAGATTGGAAATGTAAGACGGATAACACTAGCCCTGGCTAGTTTGGCTTGGCAGTTAGAGCGTCAGCCCTCAGCCCTTGGACCAAAGTGTTGCGGGTTCGATTCTGGTCAAGGGCACTTAACTGGGTTGCAGGTTCTATCCCTGGCCCTAGTGGGGATCATGCAGGAGACAACCAATCGATGTGTTTCTTTCACGTGGATGTTTCTCTCCCTCCCTCCTACTCTCTAAAAATCAATGAAAAGAAATCCTCGGGTGAGGATTAACAAAAAGAAGAATCAGGCTATGGTAAGATAATTCTGACCTTTATTTGGTATGTTGTAAGGAGCCAACAAGTAATGTAGTAAGATCTGTGTTTTAAGCAGATATCATTGGCAATGGTTTCTGGAAGCAATTAAAATAGGAAACCAGACAAAAATATTAAATAGCTCAGCCAAGTAAGGTCTTGAACTGAGGCAGGGGTCAGCAAATTACTGCCCATGGGCCAACTTCCACTCTTCCCACCATTTTTTGTTGCTGTTAATCTTCACCTGGGGATATTTTTCCATTAATTTTTAGACAGAGTGGAAGGGAGGGGGAGAGAGAGAGAGACATCGAAGTGAGAGAGACGCATCAGCTGCCTCCTGCATGACCCCAACTGGACCGAGGATTAAACCTGCAACCCAGGCACATGCCCTTGACCCTTTGCTCCACGGGCCTAAGCTCTAACCACTGAACCAAACTAGCCAGGACCTTCCCACCAGTTTTTTTTTAATCCTCATCTGAGGGTATTTTTCTATTTATCTTCAGATAGAGTGAGAGGGAAGGAGAGAGAGGGAGAGAGAAAGAAACATCGAAGTGAGAGGAACACACTGACTGGTTGCCTCCCAAACAACTCTGACCAGGGCCAGGGATGAACCACAACCAAGGTACGTGCCCTTGACTGGAACTGAACCCGAGACTCATTGGTCTGTGGGCCGACACTCTAACTGCTGAGCCAAACCGGCCAGGGCCCAACATTGTTTTTTTAAATAAAGTTTTCTTGGAACACAGCCACAAATATATACTATCTATGGCTGCTTTCAAGCTACAACAGGAGACTCGAGTGGTTGCACAAGAGACTGTATGACCTACAAAGCCAAAAATATTTACTCTGGTCCTTGAAGAAAAAGTTGGTAGACTTCAGAACTGAGGTGAGAGCTGATAAATGGGCAAACCTTGAAACCAAGGAAAAACACTGAGGTGTAAGGGATGAAGTCCTGCACACTAATGTGATGATACAGGAAGAATGGATGGAGTTATAGGAATGAATTGAACCGTGCACCGGCAAAAGCTAAGGACAAAATAAAGAAAAACACCAGTTCTCCAGACACTGGACAGGCAATGAAAACCAGTGATCCCAGAGAGTCAGGAAACACACACATGAGCCTTACTGCCTGAAGAACATTTCCAGGCTGCAGAGCAGGGAGAAGTACTCCAGGGGGGGACCGGAAGACTCTTGGAGATGAGTAGATGCAGATAAAAACTGAGAAAAACCAAGGCCTGTAGCGCTCATAGTACAGCACTCTGGCGATCACAGGAGGAGAAAGAACTGCACAGACAAGACTCAGGAGACACACAGAGGGGCCCCTGGGGCAGTAGACAGGCTGTTGATCAGTGTGTGGTGTGAGGAAACCACCCCAGGCTGAGGAAAGAACCACCCAAAAGGGTAAGAGGAAAGAATAACCAAAATGCAGCAGGGCTTACAGTCCCTGTTCTGGAACCAGACTGGAAAAACTCATAATTCGTGAGGCACTGAATCAAGTAGTATTCAGAAGAGTCTTGACTCATTAGTGGGGAAAAATGAACCCCAAACTAAATGCTGCTCAGTTCCGCCTAACAAAGATTCAAAGCAAGAGCTGACAAAATCAAATTGTTTCCAAGTCACATCCTAGAACAAAGCTCAAGAATATTTATAGGACCCTGGCTAGGTAGGTAAATTGGTTGAAGCATAGTCTTGTATACTGAATAGTTGTGGGTTTGATCCCTGGTAAGGGCGCATATGGGAATCAACCAATTGATATCTCTCTCTCACACATCGATGTTTCTCTCTCTCCTACCTTTCCCTCCCTCCCTCTTTCCTTCTCTAAAATCATTAAGCATGTCCTCAGGTGAGGATTTGAGCACAGACCCATGGACTGAGACGTCCCGGTCAGGGCAGATGCTCAGGTTGCAGGCTCGAGCCCAGTATGGGGTGTGCAGGAGGTAGCCGACAGATGCACGTTTCTCACATCGATGTTTCTATTTCTCTCCCCCTTCCTCTCTCTCTAAAACAAACAAACAAAAAGAATATTCATAGGAATGCAAAAATAAGCAGCAGTCAAAAAGGCAAAATTCATAAAGTGTGGCACTCAATAAAAAATTACCAGACATTCAAAGAAACATGAAATTACTACCAAAATTAGAAAAAAGTCAATCAAAATTAACTAAGAAATTATATAAATGAGATTATAGAAAAAGACTTTTAAAGTTATAACTGTTATTACAAATGCTCCAGAAACTAGAGGGAAAATAAAACATGTTAAGTAGAGATAGGAAGATTTAAAAAAGAAACAAACCTACATTTTAGATATGAGAATTACAGTATCTGAGATGGAAAATACATTGTATATTAATAGATTCAGTTTTGTAGAGGAAAAAGATAGCAACCTGAAGATAACAGAGATGCTCTAAACTAAAACACAGAAAATAAAAATGCTGGAAAAAATGAACTGTGAGCTGTGGGACAACTTCAAGCAGCCTAATATACATGTACTTGAAAGGGGCAATCCGACAAAATATCTGAAGAAACAAAGGCAGAAAAACTTCCCAATTTGATGGAAACTATAAATCCACAGATCCAAGAGCTCAATAAAACCTAAACACAAAAAATATAAAGAAAATTATTCCAAGGCACATCATAATCAAATTGCTTAAAACCAGTGAGAAAGAAAATATTAAAAGCAGCCAAAGGAAAAAAAACATATTACACACAGAAAAACAAAGATAAAGACGACGACAACAGATTTCTCATTATAAACAATACAAGCTGGAAGACAGTGGAGAAATATTTCTAAGTCCTGAAAAATGAAACAGCTGTCACCCTGGCCAGTTTGGCTCAGCGGTTAGAGTGTTGGCCCATGGACCAAAGAGTCACAGGTTCAATTCTGGTCAAGGGCACATAACTCGGTTATAATTCGGTTCCCAGCCCTGGTCGGGGTCGTGCAGGAAGCAACTGGTCGATGTGTCTCTCTTACATCACTGTCTGTCTCTCTCTCCCCCTCCCTCCCACTCTATCTGAAGATAAGTAGAAAAGTATCCTCAAATAAGTATTAAAAAAAAAAAAAGAAATAGTTGTCAACCTGAAATTAAAGCAAAAACATGTATACTATGTACTGTGGGATTTATAACATGTAGCAGAAGTAAAACTGTGACAACAATAGCAACACAGCTGGAGAGAGAGAAGCAGATGCATACTACATACTGTCTTTTTTCAAAATAAGCTTTTATTGATTTTTTTTAGAGAAAGGAAGGGAGAGAGAGAGAAACATCGATGTGAGAGAACATCAACTGGCCACCTCCTGCATGCCCCGCACTGGGGGATTGGGCCCACAACCTGAGCATGTGCCCTGACTGGGAACAGAACCGGGACCTCTCAGTCCATGGAACAACACTTAATCCACTGAGCCACACTGGCCAGGCTGCATTGTCTTAATGCTCTTTTATACTGCAGCTAAAGTGGTGTGTCATGTGAAGGTAAACTGATAAGTTAAAGATAAATATCACTGCCCTGGCCGGTTTGGCTCAGCAGTTGGAGCGTCGGCCCCTGGACCAGAAAGACACGGGTTCGGTTCCTGCTAAGGGCATGTACCTCAGTTGCAGTTTGTCTCTGGCCCTGGTTGGGGTTGTGTGGGTGGCAACCAGTCAATGTGTCTCTCTCACATCGATGTTTCTCTCTCTCTCTCTCCCTCCCTCTTTCCCTCCTGCTCTATCTGAGGATAAATGCAAAAAAATGTCCTCAAGTGAGGATAAAAAAAAAGAGCCCTGGCCTGTTTGGCTCAGCAGACCAGAGTCCCGGTTCGGTTTCCACTAAGGGCATGTACCTTGGTTGCAGTTTGTCCCTGGCCCTGGTTGGGGTTGTGTGGGTGCCAACCAGTCAATGTGTCTCTCTCACATCGATGTTTCTCTCTCTTTCTCTTCCTCCCTCTCTCCCTCCCGCTCTATCTGAAGATAAATGCAAAAATGTCCTCAGATAAGGATAGATAGATAAATAAATAAATAAATAAATAAATAAATAAATAAC